GCTGGTTGTTCCAATGCCAGCACCGCCGCAAGGTGAGAAGCACGAAAAGGAAGCGAGCGAAGAACCAGAGAGCAAGAGAGCAAGGGTGGAACCTGGTGAGGCCAAGCAGCCCTCGGGTGACACCGCTCAAGCTTCAGATGGACCGGTGCGGTTCAGCATCGCAACGCCTGATGCTAGCATGGGGACAGGCAGTCATGACCTTAGTCTCTACTCGCCATCCCTTCCGGGAGACATGGCTCAGGATATGATATCCTGCATCAGCAACCATGGTGAGTGGAGTGAGGCAGGCACGTGTCTTGGAAAGGAGGACTACGAGCACTACAAGAAGTGGGTGAAGCAGAATGAAGGATGCTTCAACTCAAGCATGGTCAGCAATATCATGGACTATCTGGACACGATGCAAATGGATGAAAGAGAGCTCAAGAGAGCGCGGAAGGAAGAGCTGAGAAAGCTCAACGAGGTCTATGGGGCCTTCACGCCTAGAGATGGGCGTCAGCTTCCGAGAGACCTAACGGTGTTTGGCCACAAGTGGGTCGACAAGGTGACAGAGGGGATAGCGAAGTCCAGGCTTACATGCCAGGATTTCAAGAAGAAGCAAGATGCCAACGAGAGACACAGCTCAGAGTTTCCCTCAAACTTTTGCCCTACACCGCACGCGACCTCCAGAAAGCTTTTGGAAGTTTACTCTTTGGCTACGAAGATGCCGAGAGTGAAAGCTGATTTGAGCTCAGCTTTTCTGATCGCTAAAGATGGAGGAGACGCGAAGGGGCAACCGGTGATGATGAGGCCACCAAAGGAATGGCTGGAGGATTACGACGAATGGTATGCCAAGGCAGATCCAGAAGTTCAGCGACAGCTGAAGGACACGCCCAAGGAAAATGTGTTGTGGCAGGTAGACGGAAACCTGTACGGCAGACAGTCGGCGGCAGCACAGTACAGAGATCGTTTGGAGGTCATTTTGACCAAGGAACTCCCAAAGGGAGTCTATGATTTTCACCGCGGAAAGCTTGATGCATGTGTGTTTCGATGCAGGCGCACAGGTGTAGTTCTGATTCATCACATAGATGATTTCGATGTGTGCGGACCGGCTGCGTTGTTGAACGACTTACTCAAGGTGCAGTTGCCAAAGTGCGGGTGCAAGCTGAAAGTGGGTGAGCTTGAGTGGCCTGGGGAAGCAAGCAGTAGCACAAGTGAGTTTCTTGGTAGGAAGAAGATTCTAGTTGAAGGTGCTGTGGTGACGCTTCCGAACGAGAAGCACATCAACGACATTCTTAGGATGCTAGGACTTGAAGAAGCAAAGCCAAGCCCAGTGCCAGGGAAGAAGCTTAACCTGCAGGACAACAAACCGCTTGAAGGCAAGGCGAAGGAAACCTACGCAAGCTGTGTAGGTAGCGCAACTTATCTGTCACAAGACAGACCGGATATAAAGTTTGCCTGCAAGGAGCTGGCAAAGCGGATCAGGGAACCGCGTGAGTGTGACATGCAAAACCTCAAGGTGCTAGGAAGGTATCTGCGTGGGACAATGCACGTAGGACACGTGACCAAGTTGGATGAACATGTGGACCCAGCGGCATGGATTCCTCTTCAGGGATTCTGTGACAGCGACTGGGCTGGAGATAAAGAGGATAGGAAAAGCACCAGTGGACAGGTGATAGTCCTAGGAGGGACTGTCGTGGAGACCTCAGCGAGGACTCAGCAAGGCACCCCAGCTACAAGCTCAGGGGAAGCAGAGGTCAGAGCCTTAACTCAGTGCGCTCAGGACCTGGTGTTCGTGAGGAACTTAGGAGTTGAGGACTTCGGGATGTCAATCGATGTTCCGAGGCTGTTCTGCGATAGCAGTGCAGCAATCCAGGTTGCTAGGCGACTTGGTGTTGGGAAGATGAGACATGTCGATCTAGGACACTTGTACATTCAAGAACTTGTGAAAGAGAAGAGAGTGATTGTCCAGAAGATCAAAGGGACAGAGAATCCTTCAAACGCCTTAACAAAGCATTTGGCCACGGGAGCCGAAACTGAGGAAGGAAGGGGCATGTTGGGTCTAGTAACCTTGGACAAGCAAGGGCTGGACAAGCACGTTTCAAAGAACACGATGCAATCGGTTGGAGCACTGACAAGCTGGAAGAAGTGGCAGCCGCAGCAGTGCACAAGGCTCAGCACAAAGCAGTTCGTTAGTGCTGTTGGTAGACATCGGCCTCTAAGGGAGACACCTCATGGATCTTATCCCTTATGGAGCGGGTGATACCGTTGCTTCGTGGATGCCCTATCTCATCATGATCAGTTTCACGTTGAATGCCATCACAATGGCGTTGGCAGTGATCTTTTGCCTCTGTAAGTGTATCCATTTTGGAAACCGAGAGGTGATTGTGTACATGGGTACAACGTGCGCACATGGAAAGCTCTTTATGAGCCGAAAGGGACGCAAAGTCCACTCAGACCCTGGGTGTCAAGGTTTGTACAGAGCGGACGACATCAAGGGATTTGACTTTTGCAAGTATTGCTTTAAAAGCAAGACCAAGTAACGCATTTTGAGCCCAATGCGCGACCGGGTACGACAAGATACCCACTACAAGGAGGGTGCGAGAAATTCTCGAGCCTTACCTGTAGTTCTCGTGTGTAGTGTGTACTTGTACAGTTGTATAGCTAGTACACTACCGAAGCCCTGTTGGTACAAGCTAAGCAGCAGGAAAAGCTAGCACTCCGCCCGTTTCGCAGTTTGCCTGTTCCCAGACACGGGCTGCAGGAGAGCGTGTGCAAGCTCGGCATGCTCTCAACCGCTACTCGGGAAGCCGGACTGGTTAGGAGAAACATCATCATAATATGATGATGCTGCTCCTCACCAGTCCGGCTTTGCGACTGTTGCCGAATGCATCTGCGGTTGAAGATCTGCCGCAAGACTCCCTCCCTGGCTGGGCTGAGACATGTGTCGTGACATGACAATCTGACAATCATCACGAGGCTCGGCAAAGGTTCGGTTCCTAGGTTCCCAGGCTCCCAGGTAGAATAGTTCGTTGGGTTGTCAGGCTCAGCACAGGTCTCAGCCCAGGGAGCTGGGTTGCTTGCGGCGAGTCTTGTTCCGTCGCAGATTCAGTCGAACACAGTCTCCCTGACTGAGGGTAACCAGTCATCATCGAGGCTTGGAAAATTAAGCATGCCCCGTGGAGTCCTCATCGTCATCATCTGTCATCAATGTCATCAGGTTCCGAGGCTTGTTCAAGGTTCATGGGCCGCAACATCATCATCACCATCATCATCATCAGTCATCATCATATGCGAGGCTCCCAGGCCCAGATCCCTTAAAATTTTTCGGGAGGGTCGACGCACACACCAAGAAAATTAGTGTCTGTTTGAAACCATAAACCTCTAAAGGGGTAGCTCTACAGGTACCTACAGCAATGGCTGCATGCTCATACATATACATTCCGCTGCCCATTGGCTCACAGTGGTTTTACCATATTGAGACAAGACAAGCTCTCCTTGCGTAGCAAGACAAAAAAACTACTGTCCGTGTGCAGGGCGCTGCCCTTTGATCCTTAGGGAATAACTGGTCATACACCTCCTAACAAGGAGTATTCCTTGTGGGTGTATCGGCACAGGGGGAGGGAGAGGGGGGGCGTAAAAATGAGGGAAGGGAGGCCTGGGAGGGGGGGGGGGAGGCCGACAAATCAGGTAAAATGAGGGCAAGGGGGTGGCAAACGAACGCAAAAACAGGGTGTCACCAATCACTGCGTACCTGAGGTAACCACCAAAACGCCTGGGCCTCTGGCCTCGGCGGATTGCTTACCTTCCCTCCCTCCCCTGCCTACCTGCCTACAGGTTAGCTACGTATACATGTGCAGCATGTGCAGGCACACACTCGTAAATACACATGGACATATGTATGGCTTTGCCGGGGTATTCAGTTTGTTCTCATGCGTTTGCAGCTGTACGAGGTTTCGATCCCCACCGCAAGTCCGATTCCACTGCAGAGGAAGCCTTGGGAGAGGGCACCCAGCTTCAGAGTATAGACTCAGACGAGTTTCTGACATCACATGCTGTCGGTGGTCACCGTTCTTTGCCTCCCAGGTGAGATCAAGGTCTGTCGTGAGATGGGGTTCGCTAGTGCCCGACTCGGAAACCGAGGTCTAACAAATGCCCAGTGCGTTGCTTGTCGCTATGGTGAGAGTGATGACTGTTCTTCTAGTCTAAGCATGTTTAAATTCTGAGCTTGACTAGGCTTTTCAGGAGTTAAGTGCAGCCGTTGGTACTGGAGCCGGTGGCCGTTAGGGCTCGGCCTCTCGTGAACAACCTTTTCGGATAGGGAGCTGGTCACGGTTGGTCCCTGTTTCGGTGAGTTCGCACCCTCTCAGTAGATTCAGCAGCCCGCGGCGTTTGCCAGATCGCCCGGCGTGCATGGATGCGTTCAGGCTTAAAGTAGCCAGGGTCACGGTTAGTTTAAGCAGCTGAGTAACTCTGAGTAGAAACAGTCAGGATGGATCGGCAGTAGCATCAGAAAAGCATACGGTTTTCGTTATTCCGAGCAATAGGCTACTGAGAAAGGCAGCTAACCTTTCGTCAAGTCGGACGAGACTTATAAGTATATGGCTTAGTACGGGAATCAATCCCCGCATAATCCAATGGACGGTTCGCCGGAGCGTCTGCAAAACTTCATTTCAAAATGCGCGGCAGATGAGGCCAAGTGGGCAGGTTATGTCTGACAGTCCTGACACATTCCATCCTGGCAGGGGTTGGCTGTTGAGGAAGTTTCAAACTCTCCCCTCACAAGCCAAACGTCGAGTTTGCCCGGTGTCATGGCAGAGATTCGGATGAAGGGGTGAGAGGAGAGTCATCCAGTGACTCTACATAGTTGCTTACTGTTTAAGGTTTATGCTTGTCGTGACCGCTGCCGACTTTCGAGCAACACATGCCAGGGTGCTCGGAAAAGAGACGGAGTTTGCTGCTACTCAGGTAATTCTTGCCAATTTCCAGCAGGGGACTCTTTTGAAAAGATACTTTGCTGCACAATGCAATCGGGATCTTCCGTCCAGCGCTGGAGGCAAAGTCTGCCTTTAGCTCTGCCAGTTGGTCTGAGGCTGCTGCTGGACGCACAGTCCAGAATCGGAACTTGGCTGTCGGCCGTGGATGCCCAGGCAGACTCCACAGCCTCAAGGTGCCTTCCGGGCCGGCCGAGACAGACCTGCCGTCAACCCATCTCTACTACCAGTAGCAACTTCAAGACATCTTGATTCTGCACTTGCAAAGGCTTCCGGCATTGCATGACAGGTCACTTCCGGGACAGGCAGAAACGCCGGATGCGTCTGAGCAAGTGTCACCACTGCCGCAGCCAAAGGTGTGTTTTGGATGCAAGTATCAACCTTGATCTTTGTGGCTTTTGGACTTGTGTCGATGTCGATCAACTAGTTTAAACGCGGTCGAGTGTATGCCTTCTGAGACACGGGACATGCGGAACATGCAAGGTCTGCCGCAGCCAGGAGACTGCAAGAGTGGAGGTTGACACGGGAGTCCACGCGACTTGACAGACACTTGAAACGCTGATAGTACATTCCGGTACCAGATGCACGGTTACGGCTCATGTTAATGCATTGCGTGTGGGAGCAATCCTGTGCGAGGTTGACTGCGGAGACGGAGGCTCCGCACGCAGCGACGGTCTCAGCTGAGCCGAAGCAGGAGCTAGCTTCTTAGCATAACAATCGACCCGGCATTGAGATGTGCAAAAACCGTGTCCCGTTGACAAAGTGTTGTTTTGTAGCATTTAGCCAGCAAGCCCTGGCAGGAGCGTGGCGAAAGTGGTAAAGCACAGCCAAGTGACCCATTCGTAGAGGCAACAGTTGGGGAGGCCGTGGTCCGAATTCGGATATCGGAAGAAGAGTCCAAAACAGTCGCACAATTGGCTGCCACCTTCGAGCAGTCCAACGTGCCAAAGGGGAAGGCCGATGCCACTTCTGCGTTGTCCAAGACACCCATGCAGGCGCGGCTGTCGTTTACTCGCTTCCGATCGAAGTGCGTTAAACCAAGTTGCTGTAGCCGTATTCCTGGGCTGCCCGGAGGAGGAAGGTGACGAGCAGCCGGCTAGAGCTAGAGAAGCTGAAAGAGCAGATGAGGCCAAGCCTGTCGAAGCTAACGGAATTCCGACTCCAGCACTCCAGTCTCCAGGCGCCCAAGGGCCCGGAGGACAAAGTTCCGAGCTCAGAGGCCCTGCAGGCGGCCGCTGGAAAGCTCATGGAGAGGGTCAAAGCTGCCAGAGAGAGAAAGAAGCGGCCGGAAGAGGACGGGTGGCCTTGCTTTTGTGCCTGCGAGTACTGGGCACAGCATGGTGCTCGATAAGATGCAGTTGCAGGCAGCCGTGGAGAAGCCCACACTACAGGCGGCCAGAAACCAGCGCATTCGCAACCAACTCCTGAAGAAATCTCATTTGAGACGGCATGCAGGAAAGCGCTCGCCTGGAGGAGGAAGAGGACGGGAAGCCAAGAGGGCATGCCGGAAAGACTTTTCTGTCTGGCGGCTTCTAGCTTGCCCAGTTGCTTAGCTGCGGTTAGCCTGTTGTGTGGCAGCGGGAGGTGGCTGTGGAGAAGCCCTGTGCAGAGGCGGGGCGTGCTTTGTAGCACGTGCTGGGTGCACTCACTGTAAGATGCTCGCCGCTGCAGAGTTGCAGGAACCGGAGGAGACGCACGGAGAAGAGGCGAGTGTTGAAGAAGTTTAAGAACCGCTGCTTGTAACGGCTTGCATCAAGCAGATTTTAGAGCCCGTGATACCCTTGTGCTTCGTGCCAGTGATCTAGTTTCCCCCACCCTGGGGTATCTTGTACTTCAGATTCTCGAAGTGTAGATGAACAGACACTCCTGCGTGGCATAGGAGCCGGCAGCGGCGCAGCCCGGCCAGGCGGTGGAGGCTGGACAGCTTAGCTGCTTGCTTTTGTTATGGCTCTTCATCCGACAGCTCGACTGCTTGCTGCCACAGTGATCAGCCGTGGCAAGTCGAGTCACACAGAATGCTTATGCACTGGAAAAGGAACGGCTTGAAGAAGAGAAGCCGCCCGCAGAGGTGCACCACGACGTCATGCCAGTGGATGAATTTGCATTCTTACCCATTCTTGCCCGTTGATCTGCCACGTGGCCACTGTTGTGTTGATAAGCAGGAAGAGGAGCTGACCGAGAAGGTCCTGGCACAGGAGGCAATCGTGGGCAATAGCTGACGTCATATCAAAATGCGTCGGGGTAAGGCTCTGGAAGGATTGGAGGACGGGTTGCGTGATGAATGTTCGGAGTTTGCATCCTTTTTCACTTCACCGGACGAAAGAAGACGAAGAAGAGATCACAGCTTTGACAGATGCAGCTAGTCCAGAGCATCCTCTGCCCGGCAGCCTCCAGCTTGTCCATGTGGTTGCTTAAGGCTTAGCTGCGGTTAGCTTGTTCTGTGGCAGGGGGAGGTGGCTGTGGAGAAGCTCTGTGCAGAGGCGGCATGTATTTGCTGGCACGTACTCTGTGCAAGCACTGTAAGACAAATTCCCGTTGCAGAGCTGCAGGAACCGGTGTGCCTGCATCAAGCGAAGCAAGCAGACATGGATCCCGCGATATCCTGGGTTGCATGCGCACAGGCACAACAACTGTTTTCCTCACGCCTGGGTGTCTTGTGCTTCAGATTCTCGAAGTCTAGATGAACAGACACTCCTGCATGGCATAGGAGCCGGCAGCGCCGCAGCCGGGCCAGGCGGTGGAGGCTGGACAGCTTGAGGTTAGACGGTTAGCTGCTATGCTTAGCTGCATGCTTTTGTTATGGCTCTTGATGCGACAGCTCGACTGCTTGCTGCCACAGTGATCAGCCGTGGTAAGTCGACTCGAACAGAATGCTTATGCAGGGCTTCTCTTCATTTGAAGATGAACAGACCTTCCCTGCCCGGTGTAGGAGCCGGTTGCGGTGAAGAAAGGCCAGGCGCAGGAGGAGGCTGGATAGCTTGAGGTTAACTGCTACCTTAGCTTAATCATCCTTACTAAGCTCATCGGTCTGCCACAGCTGTGCTCAGCCGTTCCAAGTCGACTGAAAGTGAATTTTTTTTGCAGGCAAAAGAACAATTTGAGGAAGAGAAACAGCCGCAAGAGGTGCACCGCTACGTCATGCCAGTGGATGCCTTTGGATTCATACCAATTCCTGCACGTTGAGCTGCCATGTGGCCACTCTGTGCTGGGAAGCAGGCTGACAAGGTCCCGGCAGAGGAAGAGGCAGTCGTGGTCCTAGCTCACGTTTCATTCGAAGATGAACAGACCTTCCCTGCGCGGTTTAGGAGCCGGTTGCGGTGGAGAAAGGCCAGGCGGAGGAGGAGGCTGGATAGCTTGAGGTTAACCCTAGCTTTTCATCCTTACTAAGCTCATGGGACAGCCGCAGCTGTGCTCAGCCGTTCCAAGTCGACTGAAAGTGAATGTTTTTTGCAGGCAAAGGAACAACTTGAGGAAGAGAAACAGCCGCAAGAGGTGCACCGCTACGTCATGCCAGTGGAAGCTTGTGGATTCATACCCATTCTTGCACGTTGAGCTGCCATGTGGCCGCTCTGCGCTGGGAAGCAGGCAGAGGAGCTGACCAAGAAGGTCCCGGCAGAGGAAGAGGCAGTCGTGGGCCTAGCTCACGTCATACAGGCACTCTTCATTTGAAGATGAGCAGACCTTCCCGGCGCGCTTTAGGAGCCGGCTGCGGTGGAGAAAGGCCAGGCGGAGGAGGAGGCTGGATAGCTTGAGGTTAACCTTAGCTTTTCATCCTTACTAAGCTCATGGGACAGCCGCAGCTGTGCTTAGCCGTTCCAAGTCGACTGAAAGTGAATGTTTTTTGCAGGCAAAGGAACAACTTGAGGAAGAGAAACAGCCGCAAGAGGTGCACCGCTACGTCAAGCGAGTGGAAGCTTTAGGATTCATACCCATTCTTGCACGTTGAGCTGCCATGTGGCCACTCTGCGCTGGGAAGCAGGCAGAGGAGCTGACCGAGAAGGTCCCGGCAGAGGAAGAGGCAGTCGTGGGCCTAGCTCACGTCATGCAAGCACTCTTCGTTTGAAGATGAACAGACCTTCCCTGCGCGGTTTAGGAGCCGGTTGCGGTGCAGAAAGCCCACACGGAGGAGCAGGCTGGATAGCTTGAGGTTAACTGCTACCTTAGCTTTTCATCCTTACTAAGCTCAGCGGTCGTTCGAAGTCGACTACAACTGAATGTTTTTTGCAGGCAAAGGAACAACTTGAGGAAGAACAACAGCCGCAAGAGGTGCACCGCTAAATCATGCCAGTGGATGCTTGTGGATTCGGACCCATTCTTGCACATTGAGCTGCCATGTGGCCACTCTGCGCTGGGAAGCAGGCAGAGGAGCTGACCGAGAAGGTCCCGGCAGAGGAAGAGGCAGTCGTGGGCCTAGCTCACGTCATGCAAGCACTCTTCATTTGAAGATGAGCAGACCTTCCCTGCGCGGTTTAGGGGCCGGTTGCGGTGGAGAAAGGCCAGGCGGAGGAGGAGGCTGGATAGCTTGAGGTTAACCCTGGCCCTAGCTTTTCATCCTTACTAAGCTCATCGGTCTGCCGCAGCTGTGCTCAGCCGTTCCAAGTCGACTGAAAGTGAATGTTTTTTGCAGGCAAAGGAACAATTTGAGGAAGAGAAACAGCCGCAAGAGGTGCACCGCTACGTCAAGCGAGTGGAAGCTTTTGGATTCATACCCATTCTTGCACGTTGAGCTGCCATGTGGCCACTCTGCGCTGGGAAGCAGGCAGAGGAGCTGACCGAGAAGGTCCCGGCAGAGGAAGAGGCAGTCGTGGCCGTAGCCCACGTCATGCAAGCACTCTTCAGTTGAAGATGAACAGACCTTTCCCTGCACGGTTTAGGAGCCGGTTGCGGTGGAGAAAGGCCAGGCGGAGGAGGAGGCTGGATGGCTTGAGGTTAACTGCTACCTTAGCTTTTCATCCTTACTAAGCTCAGCGGTCGTTCGAAGTCGACTACAACTGAATGTTTTTTTGCAGGCAAAGGAACAACTTGAGGAAGAAAAACAGCCGCAAGAGGTGCACCGCTACGTCATGCCAGTGGATGCTTGTGGATTCGGACCCATTCTTGCACATTGAGCTGCCATGTGGCCACTCTGCGCTGGGAAGCAGGCAGAGGAGCTGACCGAGAAAGTCCCGGCAGAGGAAGACGCAGTCGTGGGCCTAGCTCACGTCATGCAAGCACTCTTCATTTGAAGATGAACAGACCCTCCCTGCGCGGTTTAGGAGCCGGTTGCGGTGCAGAAAGCCCACACGGAGGAGCAGGCTGGATAGCTTGAGGTTAACTGCTACCTTGGCTTTTCATCCTTACTAAGCTCAGCGGTCGTTCGAAGTCGACTACAACTGAATGTTTTTTGCAGGCAAAGGAACAACTTGAGGAAGAACAACAGCCGCAAGAGGTGCACCGCTAAATCATGCCAGTGGATGCTTGTGGATTCGGACCCATTCTTGCACATTGAGCTGCCATGTGGCCACTCTGCGCTGGGAAGCAGGCAGAGGAGCTGACCGAGAAGGTCCCGGCAGAGGAAGAGGCAGTCGTGGGCCTAGCTCACGTCATACAGGCACTCTTCATTTGAAGATGAACAGACCTTCCCTGCGCGGTTTAGGAGCCGGTTGCGGTGGAGAAAGGCCAGGCGGAGGAGCAGGCTGGATAGCTTGAGGTTAACTGCTACCTTAGCTTTTCATCCTTACTAAGCCCATCGGTCTGCCACAGCTGTGCTCAGCCGTTCTAAGTCGACTGAAACTGAATGTTTTTTTTGCAGGCAAAGGAACAACTTGAGGAAGAAAAACAGCCGCAAGAGGTGCACCGCTACGTCATGCCAGTGGATGCTTGTGGATTCGGACCCATTCTTGCACATTGAGCTGCCATGTGGCCACTCTGCGCTGGGAAGCAGGCAGCGGAGCTGACCGAGAAGGTCCCGGCAGAGGAAGAGGCAGTCGTGGGCCTAGCTCACGTCATGCAAGCACTCTTCATTTGAAGATGAGCAGACCTTCCCTGCGCGGTTTAGGGGCCGGTTGCGGTGGAGAAAGGCCAGGCGGAGGAGGAGGCTGGATAGCTTGAGGTTAACCCTGGCCCTAGCTTTTCATCCTTACTAAGCTCATCGGTCTGCCGCAGCTGTGCTCAGCCGTTCCAAGTCGACTGAAAGTGAATGTTTTTTGCAGGCAAAGGAACAATTTGAGGAAGAGAAACAGCCGCAAGAGGTGCACCGCTACGTCAAGCGAGTGGAAGCTTTTGGATTCATACCCATTCTTGCACGTTGAGCTGCCATGTGGCCACTCTGCGCTGGGAAGCAGGCAGAGGAGCTGACCGAGAAGGTCCCGG